AAACTTCATTACAAATAATGTAGCCTAAAACTTAGTTTACTAGTGCTTTTTTACCAGTTTTCTATATTTTTTTTTTTTGTTCAGAATTTCAACAGACAGGGATTTTAATGAAGAGAAGGGTTTCTCTGTTTGTGAACTGAATTGAAAAAGAGATGTACCATCCCAAAAGAACTGGTCAAAGCCATCCAGAAGCCTTGAAATGAAAGAAAAATTGCCTGAAATGAAAGTAAAATTTCAGTATAGAAAGGTAGAGAGCAGTTCCTTTAATTAAGGCCTTAAGGTGTGTGAAATACACCCTGAATTGGGTGGGTGGTCTTACAAGACCTCTCCTTCCTCCAAACTTTGTCTTCCCCATGATGTTCTGTCCTGCTTGGAACTATTTCAAGGATTTGGGGCCTTCTGAATAGTTTTGATTAAAGTTACATCAAACAATGTGCTGGTTATATCTTGGTTTTGGATGCTCTCTCCAGACTAAATGTTCTCTGGCTTGTTAAAAGTCTCCATCTATTGAAATCCTTGATGAGGAACATTAAACAATACTTCTGGAATTTAGTACAAGGGGTATTTTGCTGAGAGTTCTATCCTAAAAGTGCTAAAAATCTGTAGTATATAGATTCTAGAGCATCAGTTGCAGAGGGTGTAACAGTGTGTCAAAGGAGATGAGGAGAAAGAGAAGATGAAGGGAGTGGTCTTGGAGACGTCCAGCTCAAATGTGGGAGGTGTGTCAGGGGTATGGGAGGGATGGTTTTGGGAGTGGAGCTGCATCCAGCTGGGATCCAGTCACCAGTGGCGTCCCCAGGGATCAGTGCTGGGCCCAGTCCTGTTTAATGTCTTTATTGATGATCTGGAGGAGGGGACTGAGTCCACCCTCAGTTGACACCAAGCTGGAGGAGAGTGTTGATGTGCTGGAGGGCAACAGGGCTCTGCAGAGGGACCTGGACAAGCTGGATCCATGGGCTGAGGTTCACTAAGGCCAAGGGCCGGGTCCTGCACTTTGGCCACAAGAACCCCCTGCAGCTCCAGGCTGGGCCAGAGGGGCTGGAAAGCTGGAAAAGACCCTGGGGGTGCTGGTGAGAGCGGCTGGACAGGAGCCCAGGAGGGCAGGAAGGCCAATGACAGCTGGATTGGATCAGGAACAGTGTGTCCAGCAGGAGCAGGGCAGGGCTTGTGCCCCTGTGCTGGGACCTGGGGAGGCCACACCTCAAATCCTGTGTCCAGCTCTGGGCCCTGAGCTCAGGAAGGCCCTGGAGGGGCTGGAGCAGGGGCAGAGAAGAGCAGCGAGGCTGGGGAAGGGACTGGAGCCCAAGAGCTGGGAGGAGAGGCTGAGGGAGCTGGGGGGGCTCAGCCTGGAGAGGAGGAGGCTCAGGGGAGACCTCCTCACTCTCTGCAACTCCCTGCCAGGAGGGGGGAGCCGGGGGGGGGTCAGGCTCTGCTCCAGGGAACCAGCAGTAGGACAGGAGGGCACGGTCTCAAGCTGTGCCAGGGCAGGGTCAGGTTGGACATCAGGAAGGAATGTTTTGCATGGAGAGTGCTCAGCCATTGGAATGGGCTGCCCAGGGAGGGGGTGGATTCTCTGTCCCTAGAGGTGTTTAAGGACAGACTGGATGTGGCATCAGTGCCGTGGGCTGGCTGACAGGGTGGGGTTGGGTCACAGGTGGGACCTGATGATCTCAGAGGTCTTTTCCAACCCAGTTGATTCCGTGATTCTGCGCATTTCCTCCTTTCACCACCTCCATAACTTGTGCAATCCTTGTGTCCTTAGGACTTTATCCACCAGTGACGATGTGGAGGACAGGGAGACTGAGAAGGGCCGGCTGGAGGAGGCCTATGAGAAGTGTGACCGGGACCTGGACGAGCTGATCGTGCAGCACTACACCGAGCTCACCACGGCCATCCGCACCTACCAGAGCATCACCGAGCGCATCACCAGCTCCCGCAACAAGATCAAACAGGTACAGGCTCACCTGGGCTCTGCAGCACCTCCTCTGGGGCTGTTCTGGGGGAAAATCCCTGCAGGGCCTTCTTCCTGTAGTGTGTTGTTAGAAACTGCTGGTTTAACCTGTTGGTTCTCCCTCTGGTTTTCCAGCTTCTTGTCATCGCTCTGAACTGAGTTAAAACTGAATTGAGAAGGTGCTGTTAGCCACTGATCACCCACGGAATACCCACTGTTACCTATCAATTACCCACTAATTACCCACTGTTACCCACTGATCACCCACTGAATAGCCACTGTTACCCATTAATTACTCACTGTTACCTACTAATCACCCAACAAATACCCACTGTTACCCATTAATTACCCACTAAATAGCCACTGTTACCCTTTAATTACTCACTGTTGCCTACTGATCACCCAGTGAATACCCACTGTTACCCATTAATTACCCATTAAATACCCACTGTTACCCATTACTCACTGTTAGCTACTAATCACCCAACAAATACCCACTGTTAACCATTAATTACCCACTAAATACCAACTGTTACCCATTAATTACCCACTAAATACCCACTGTTACCCATTAATTACTCACTGTTACCTACTAATCATCCAGTGAATACCCACTGTTACCCATTAATTACCCACTAAATACCCACTGTTACCCTTTAATTACTCACTGTTATCTACTAATCACCCAACGAATACCCACTGTTACCCATTAATTACCCCCTGAATACCCACTCTTACCCACTATTCACCCACTAAATACCCAGTTACCCATTAATTACCTACTGTTACCCACTAATCACCCACTGAATACCCACTGTTGCCCATTAATTACCCACTAAACACACACTAATACCCATTAATTACCCACTGTTATCCACTAATTACCCATTGAATACCCACTGCTACCCCTTAATCACCCACTGAAAACCCACTGTTACCTACTAATAACCCCTAAATACCTACTGTTAACCATTAATTACCCACTGTTATCCACTAACCACCCACTAAATGCCCACTGTTAACCACTGAGCTCCCACCCAGGGTACTGTGTCTGGCCCTGGGGTCCCCAACTCAAGGAAGACCTGTTGGAACAGAGTCCAGAGGAGGCCACGGAGCTGCTCCAAGGGCTGGAGCCCCTCTGCTCTGGAGCCAGGCTGGGAGAGCTGGGAATGTTCCCCTGGAGAAGAGAAGGCTCCAGGGAGAGCTGAGAGCCCCTTGCAGGGCCTAAAGGGGCTCCAGGAGAGCTGGAGAGGGACTTGGGGACAAGGGATGGAGGGACAGGACACAGGGAATGGCTTCCCAGTGCCAGAGGGCAGGGATGGATGGGATATTGGGAAGGAATTGCTGGCTGGGAGTGTGGGGAGGGGCTGGAATGGATTTCCCAGAGCATCTGTGGCTGCCCCTGGATCCCTGGAAGTGTCCAAGGCCAGGTTGGACAGGGTTTGGAGCAACCTGGGCTAGTGGGAGGTGTCCCTGCCCATGGCAAGGGGTGTCACTGGATGATCTTTAAGTTCCCTTCCAACCCAAACCATTCCATGATTCTAATCCTGAGCTGGGCCTGATTCCAAGTCCCTCTGGCCTGACTGGGCCATCCAGTGGCCCATCCAATCCTAATTCCTGTGTCCCAGGCTGTGCCGAACCGGCCACGCGTTTTCTGTGGGATCTGTTGGAGAACAGCAGTCGTTAAAAAGCAGCCTGAGAGGTGGGAGTGAAGTGCAAAGCTTTGTGGTGCCCCTGTTCATTGATTGTCTGGGCATGTTTCTCTCAGGTGTTTGAAGTCCTGAGGGCTGCTGAGCTCACACCTTTCCATCTGATCTGCTCCCGGTTTGATCCGTTGCCCTCCAGCCGCCTCCTGAGCAGTCTGGGTGATTCATCAGCTTCCTTTTCGCTCACAGAATACGAATTTTGGTGCTATTGGCCAGCTCAGTTGTGTTGTGTCAATGCACATGAACTCCATGGCCCTGGATCTTCCTGCATTTTCAGTGCTCACCCTTCAGTGCTGTGCCAGTAAAAATGACTGTGGCACTCGTGCCTGGGGACTTGTTTGAGCTGCCCTCTCCCTGCAGCACCAGATTAGTTCTTTGCTCTCCTGTCTTGTACCTCCTCTGTAATTTGCTGCACCTAAACTTTGCAAATTAGGCACCAAATTTATTTTAAAAATTTTTTTTCCTGGCTCAGTGGAAGTCCCAGCTTTTAAAACCAGCTTTAAGGAGCAGTAGACATTTACCCTGACCGACCCTTCTGGTTTTTGATATTCATTTAGCATTTTCAAAGAAAATGAGACCGTTCTGATGCTTTCCAAGGGTAAGAGTTCACTGTGGGATTTATGGACCAAGCTCAGCACTCTGAAAGCAGAGATCAATTGTACTAAATTTGAAACCAGCTGTAGCCAGTGGCCTGTTTTCCCAGAGTGCAGGAAGCTTTGCAGAGGTCAAACCAAACAGAGAGTGGTGTGACCTTTTGGTCCCACCTTGAAGAATGACCGGGAGGGTGAAGGACCTTTTGATATTTCAGTTTTCTTATTAGTTTTGGTCAATATGTATTGGAGTGGTTTTGACCTGATCTCAGAGGAGGCCCCAGCTCTGGTTTGTCATCAGTCTGTGTTACACTCCCAGACTTGGCTTTGATGTTCCCCTCTGAAGGTGGCTGATCACATGGGTGTTTATTTGCATTAGGAATTGTACAAGTGATGCATAGTCTGGATCCCTCGGAGTAGCTGCTTTTTGTAGTCAATTCCTGGGTGAATTCCTGTCGGGAAAGGTGCAGTTTCCAGCATAGCTACAAGAGGTGTTGCTACTCTAAGACTGAATTATAAAGTAGAACCAATTTGGGCTGCCAAGGGGGAAGTTCCTTCTTAAAGGCTTGCTCTTCATTCCTTCCCCTGCTGCCAAATGTGAGTGTAGTTGATCATCTTCCTTGCAAGGGCAGGAGTGGGAATGTCTTGTGAGATTCCTCCTGGCCCCAGGATTGTTTTGCTGACCTAATTTGGCTCCTGTCACTGCAGTCCATGATAATGGTGTGCCAGGTCAGTGAAACACTTTAAATTAATGGGTTGAGCAGGGATTCAGTCTGAAATGAACTCAGTGTGTGCTTTGCTTTCTCTCTGCTTTTATGACTCTCTTAGATGAGGTTTTCTGTTGGCTGAGGGTTTTCCCACATTACTCTTTCCAGAAGGACATTTTGGAGAGCAGGATTGAAATCTCAGTGTCTCCTGCCTCCAGACAGAGGTTCTTTAATGGAACTATTTTTACTTATAAGTGTCTGTATTTTGATCCATGAGTGTGTTTTACATGTTGGTTTTTTTTTTTTTAAAACTTCCTTTCGGTGAACAAGGTAGGAGAATGTGCAGCTGAAGTGGGATTTGTGGAGAGCTTTAAAGGCTCATTATTTAAAAATAAATTGAAGGGCTTCTTCTGAGAGCCTCTCTTCATGTGTAATTCAGTGAGAGTTCAGCCTGAGAAAAGGTTGGACCCCAAGTATTCATAACTTATCACAAAAACAAGAGTGGTGTGAAGGCAATGTGTGAAGCTGTGCTGCTAATTGCTTCCACATTTTAATATGGATTGTTGATTTGCATTAAGCAGGAAAAGAGAGGTTACACTGACCTTACCAGAGGGGAACCTGAAAGCAGGGAATGCAGGCTGGGGGTGGGAACAGAAAGAGGGGAGAAGAAAAAACCTTAATGTTGCCTGAATGGGCTGAAATTATAATAGAGACTTTGCCACTTCGAGAGGGGGCTCCAAACCAAAGTGAAAGGCAAACACCAGAGGGTTTCTCCAGGTGATGTGATGGCCTTGAAAAATAAAGGAAATATTGGATTGAACTCCCTCTTAAATGCTCTGATGAAACATTTTCTGTCTCTCTTCCAAAAAAAAAAACAATCTGGTGCTGCCCAGAGTATCAGGGAAAGGGTTGTACTTCCAACTAGTTGTGTTTCAAGGAGTGGCCACCAAAGCTGAAGAAAGCAGGAGATGTGCCAGAACATTTTAATGGGCAGATGGCAAACGTTTGGAGCAGGACAATTAGGAAATGGGGTTCCTGCCGGATGCCAGAATCCCAAATTGATTTTCTGGAAAGCTGCACGTCAGGTTTTTTGGTCCTGGTTCAGAAGAGTGGGTGTTTGGTCACGTTGTGGGGCTTCAGTTCAATTCTCACTTTGGTGAGAATCTCAAAATATTCCCTGATTTTAGATTATCTCATTTCAAAATATTCCCTGATTTTAGATCACCTCCTCTCCAAATATTCCCTGATTTGAGATTATCTCATTTCAAAATATTCCCTGATTTTAGATCACCTCCTCTCCAAATATTCCCTGATTTGAGATTTTCTCATCTAACACGGGCTGTGAACTGAACTGGAATTTTAGGGTGTCAGTGCAGGAGCAGGAGTGGGACTTGATGGTCCTGGTGGGTCCCTTCCAGCTGAAAATATTCCCTGATTTTAGATCACCTCCTCTCCAAATATTCCCTGATTTTAGATCACCTCCTCTCCAAGTATTCCCTCATTTTAGATCACCTCCTCTCAAAATATTCCCTGATTTTAGATCACCTCATCTCAAAATATTCCCTGATTTGAGATTATCTCATTTCAAAATATTCCATGGTTTTAGATCCCCTCCTCTCCAAATATTCCCTGATTTTAGATCACCCCCTCTCCAAATATTCCCTGATTTTAGATCCCCTCCTCTCCAAATATTCCCTGATTTTAGATCACCTCCTCTCAAAATACTCCCTGATTTTAGATCACCTCCTCTCCAAATATTCCCTGGTTTAGAATCACCAGCGCAGTCATCTCTCGCCAAATACCCCCGAGTTAGATCACCTCCTCTCCAAATATTCCCTGATTTTAGATCACCTCCTCTCAAAATACTCCCTGATTTTACATCACCTCCTCTCCAAATATTCCCTGATTTTACATCACCTCCTCTCCAAATGTGGGAAAGAGCTGCTCTCAGCTGCAGGCACATCCTGACTGACCCCTTTGCCGTGTCGCTGCAGGTGAAGGAGAACCTGCTGTCCTGCAAGATGCTGCTGCACTGCAAGAGGGACGAGCTGCGCAAGCTGTGGATCGAGGGCATCGAGCACAAGCACGTCCTGAACCTGCTGGACGAGATCGAGAACATCAAGCAGGTCCCTCAGAAGCTGGAGCAGTGCATGGCCAGCAAGCGCTACCTCAACGCCACCGACATGCTGGTGAGATGGGGTCCTCGGGAGCCAGGGAAAAGGGCTTCCCCCCTCCCACCCCCTCTTTTGGGGAGAGGAGAGAAAGGAGGGGAAAAAAAAAAAAAACAAAGAATTGAGAACGACAGAATTAAAGTGGTTGATGCCTGATAGGAGCTGAGAAAAAAACTCCGGAGCAGTTAATTGAGGATGAGATGAGAAAAGGGTTTAATTCCGTTACAGATGACACTAAGATGGGGGGGAGTGTCGATCAGCTGGAAGACAGGAGGGCTCTGCAGAGGGACCTGAATAGGGTGGAGAGTTGGGCTGATTGCAAGGGGCTGAGGTTCCCCAAGGCCAAGGGCCGGGTCCTGCCCTTTGGCCACAAGAAGCCCCTGCAGCTGCAGGCTGGGCCAGAGGGGCTGGAGAGCAGCCAGGCAGGAAGGGAGCTGGAAACTGGGATTGACAGGAAGTTGAGCCCGAGTGTGCCCAGGTGACCAAGAAGGCCAATGGATCCTGGCCTGGCTCAGGAACAGTGTGGCCAACAGGTCCAAGGAAGTGATTCCTCCCTTGTACTCAGTGCTGGGGAGGCCACCCCTGGAGTGCTGTGTCCAGCTCTGGGCCCTGAGCTCAGGAAGGCCCTGGAGGGGCTGGAGCAGGGGCAGAGAAGAGCAGCGAGGCTGGGGAAGGGACTGGAGCCCAAGTGCTGGGAGGAGAGGCTGAGGGAGCTGGGGGGGCTCAGCCTGGAGAGGAGGAGGCTCAGGGGAGACCTCCTCACTCTCTGCAACTCCCTGCCAGGAGGGGGGAGCCGGGGGGGGTTGGTCTCTTTTCCCAGGCAACCATCAGCAAGACAAGAGGGCTCGGTCTCAACTGTGCCAGGGGAGGTTTAGGATGGATATTAGAAAGAATTTCTTTGCAGAGAGGGTGCTCAGCCATTGGAATGGGCTGCCCAGGGAAATGGGGGATTCTCCATCCCTGGAGGTGTTTAAGGACAGACTGGATGTGGCATCAGTGCCATGGGCTGGGAACCACGGCGGGGTTGGATCAAGGGTTGGGCTGGATGATCTCGGAGGTCCCTTCCAACCCAGCTGATTCTGTGATTCTATGAAGACGCGTGTCAGCCGTGTCCGGGTGTTCCAATTTATAACAGTGCCTGTCCAATATCATATTGTTGTGCAATATTTTGGGTGTATTTTTTTGTATATATATAATTTATAAAGATACATACATAAAGATATGTGTGTGTGGGTGAGGTTGCTCATGGCTATGAGAGAGAGACAGTATAGACCTCGCTGATAAATAGATTTCTGCAGTGTATTGTGCTGTTTTGTGTTGTTTGTCTGGTTCTTTTTTGTTTCCAGGGCAGAGAATATTTTCCAGTAAATCAAATAATAATGATATAAAAAGCAGCTGTTTGTTCATGGGGTTTTTTTTAATATCTCAAGGAGTGCAGAGAGAGCTCAAGTGGAACCCGAACACTATTTCAGCCTCTCATTGACACTTGCAGTCCTCATTTGAGGACAAATGTACCTGTATAAAGCAACAATAATAAAGAAACAATAATCCCCTTGCATTTGGAGCCTTTTCCTGGCCCAATTTCACCGTGGGCTCCCTGGCTTTTGCCATCTCCTGTTAACACAGCCCTGGGGGGCTCTGATGTTGTAATCCCTGCCTGGCTGCAGGATCATTCCTTCCCCCTTGGATATGAGATGGATATTATGTAAAATCACTGCTGAGCTGTCAGGGAGGGAGGCAGAGTGTCCTTTGGTTTCACTCCTCAAGGTAAACACATGCTTGGGAAAAGCCCAGAGTGATCCAACGAGGAGTTTTTATCCCTCTGTTGGAATCAGAGCCCTCATTAATGCTGTCCCTGGATCCTTGTTGGAATTAGACCTTTGCCAGCCCCGCTTGAGGTGGATGCAAACACTGTCAGGGCATCATTTCTGCTCGCTGCATCCCACTCCTGCAGCCTGCTCTTTGTATTCCACTCACATTAATTGAAGTAATTTTGCCACTGAAGCGTGTTTCGAACCCCCCTGCATTTAAATTGAAATTTTAATTCCCTTATTGTTTGGAAAAGGAGGCTGGAGATGGCTTGTTACAGGTTTCATTATCACTCAGAACTCTCCAGCTGCTGGTTCTAATGTGCAGTGACTGAGTAATGCGGGGAAGGATTGTTAATAAAAGAGTGGCAGCTTCTCCCAGTCGTGCAAACACAATGCAGAGGTAGTTTGTGACAGCTTACATTTGTGTGAAGTTCAAAATTTGAAGTGACAGCTCTTTTTTCTTTCTGGTTCTGCGGGCACCCAGAGCAGCACAGCTTCAAATATCAGCTGTTCACGTTCTGTGCTCCTCCAGCAGCCCGAGAACAGAGCAGAGCCAGTGTAGGATCAGCTTTGCTGTCCTATAATTGCAACCTCACAGGTTGTCTAAAAAGAACCTCATTCCAGCATCCTTGGAGTTGGGAAGCTTTGGAGAAATTAGGCTTGTCTGGAACAGATAAAACTTCTGTTGGAGATGGAGTGGGGTTTAGTTATTTTCCATTTCTTTCTGTGGGTTTTTCATGGTGGGAGTTGATACTGAGGTGAGTTTTCCTGAGGTGGATCTTTCACAGACTCGATCGCTGATGGAAATGTTCATTTTCATGTGGCAGTTGAGAGCACAGGCACCCATTTGTGTGTGTTTTCTGCTTAATATAAAACATAGAAAGGGGCTCAGGGGGGACCTTCTCACTCTTTCCAACTCAGCTGGTGGAGCCAGGGAGGGGTCAGGCTCTGCTCCCGGGGAACAAGGGACAGGAGGAGAGGGAACGGCCTCAAGCTGTGCCAGGGGAGGTTTAAATTGGATATTAGGGAAAATTTCATTATGGAAAGGGCTGTCCAGCCCTGGCACTGCTGCCCAGGGCAGGGGTGGAGTCCCCATCACTGGAGGGATTTAAAATCCATGTGGATGTGGCACTTGGGGACATGGGTCAGTGGTGGCCTTGGCAGTGCTGGGGAATGGCTGGGCTTGATCTTAGAGGGCTTATCCAAAGGGAGAACTTAATATTTGCCATTTGTTTACGCAGCCTAAGAGATAAAATGCTAAAAGCAGTTGAAGAAACATTGTTGAATCAAGTAATTAAAGGTCATATCATAATAGGATTAAATAAAAACTCCTCAGGCTACTTTCTTTGCATGTCCTGACTTTCATGTGTCCAGCTTTGCAATTTTAATGAACTCATACCACTTTCTCAAAATATATCAAGTTCTTTTTTTAAAAAAAAAATCTTTTAATTCTGATAGACCATGAAACACTTACTCTGAACTTGATTTTTTAGTCCAGGGATTGTGTCAGGTGAGAAAACACCACGAAACTGCAGAAATCAATCCACAGGGTAGGAGGGAGGAAAACTCCTGTTGCCAGTTGGGAATTTTTTGTTTTGTTTTGTTTAGTCAACAAGAAGGAAAATAAAAGTGGAAAAAAGGAAGGATGGAGCCCTCTGACCTGTGTTCACTTCACTTCACACATCCTTGTGTTCCAGAGTGAAGAACTCAGTGTTTTACTTGTGAGCACATCCCTGTGCTTTAGCCTGAGTGTCTTTGTCCCAGGAAACAAAAAAGCTGAAGTGACAGTCATTCATTTCTCCAGGGAATGCTCCAACATTCCTTCCCTTTTTTCCACGTTAAGGACTTAACATTTCAGTTTCCTGATGTCAGGAAAACAATAATACACATCTGCTGCTCTGCTTTCTGACGTGGATACCAACAGCAGGATGGTTTTTGGAGCTGCAGCAGGATTTTTTTGGGGGGCTGAGCACTTTCTCTCTGTACCAGTCGGAGTTTCTGGAGTGGAGCTGGTGCCTGATATTTGCTGTTGGATTCAGTTAAACCCTCTTGGCTCAGCCTGCAGCTGGGCAGGAGGGGACGTGGCTCTGCAGGAAAATGAGGGCATTTTCCATCCTCACCACTGGCATCCTTAGGAGGAATTAAATGTGTTTTCTCTCAGCTCCGTTGGGTTAAGTTTTGAAGAGCGTTGCTTCATCCCAAAATCTCACCTTTCTGTTGGGAGCAAACCAAGCTGGAGATGCTGCCAAAGCATTTTACAGAAAAATGATCTATTTTTTTAGCTGCAGGACTTCCCAACCCAACCGGGTGACTTAGTGGGTGACAATGTGGGCAGAAATCAGAGGTGTTTGGATAAGTGGAAATGCTGTGCAGAAATCACGGAATCATGGAATGGCTCAGGTTGGGAGGGACCTGGAAGATCATCCAGTTCCACCCAGGCCAGGTTGGAGGGGGCTTGGAGCAAGCTGGGCTAGTGGGAGGTGTCCCTGCCCAGGGCAAGGGGTGGAACTGGGTGATCTTTAAGGTCCCTTCCAACCCAAACCATTCCATGAGTCCGTGTGCCCCTCAATAACGGTGTTCCCCAACATTCCATGCACTCCATGTCCTCTGTGAGGGCATTTGGAGTCATTGACGTCCTCCTGGAAAACTGTGGCTGTTTGTAGCCCTGGGCATTGTTGAGTTTTCATTTTTATTGCTTGACTGGCTGCCTGTGGCTTTCCTCGGGATACACCCAGGGGAGGCTTTCAATTAAAAGTCCCGTGTAGTGAGCAGGCATTTTACACCCACAAGTAGCCTGGGATCACGAAATAAATAAAAACAGCAATGCAGTTCCTGGCCTGCATTTTATTTACTCTCTGCCTTTCAGTTGGAACAAGGAAAATCAATAAAACCAGCCTTTCATTTTGTTTCTGCGTTCCTTGTCGCAGCCCTGGGATTCAGGTGCTGCCCTGGAAGAGTTTTATATTTTGGAATTAATGCTGAAAAGGGCAAATATAAGAGACTTTTGGTTTGGGGTTGTAAAGAAACGCCTTTAATGGCAAATTTAAATTTTGGCTCCGCTTGAAATTCTCTTTTTTTTTTTTTCCCCCCGAATTACACAAATAATGTTTTTTGTGTAATGGTTCTTGGCTTAAAGTCTTTTCCTGGTGAATGTGTCCTGTCACCCCTGACCTTACTGTTTCCAAAGAAGCCTTTGGAGAAGTGGCA